TTCAGGTTGCAGCTCATGCTAATATTTGTAACATTTTGATTTTAGGGTTTTTCTATAGTGGTTTCTCTTTTTCTTTTTTTTTTCTTTTCTCTGTGCATTTTAGATTTCTAATCTAATGTTATTCTTTTTCTATTCATGGTTATCACATTATATTTAGTTCAGCTCTTTGTGCTAGTTAGTCCCTCACCCAGCTATTTTTCCAACTGTCCTTCAATGTTTTGATTAGAAAAACCTGTTTTAACATCGCTCTTCACTCCTCTTTCATATTTAAGCTCCCTGGTTTTCATTGGTCCATGCTGATTTGCTCTGTTATGTTCACCCTTCTTCCAGGCCCAGTTCTTTCAACTCCAACTTGTAAGGTTCATTGGCTCCTATTAGATATTTGCAAATCATTAAGGAGACTTAAGCCAAAGGAGAAGGGTATCAAGGGTTTGCCATGATCAGTCTGAGTAATACTGGCAGTAGGGAAGGAGCTAGATAGAGGAAGCAGCATGCTTCTTATTGTCAGTTCATTTAGCAGATGGATCTCCTGATGTTCCTATCCTCTCGTGGCCGTTAGATGCAAACGTGCAGTAAACGAATAACGAGCTGCAAAAACAAAACAATGCAAATTACAAATTCTGCAATCACTAAAACTAGAAGCTAAACTCTACAATCAGCAAAGCAAATGCAAACAAAAGGCTGCAAGGAGGGACAAAATTCTGCAAGCAAAAACAAAACACTGCAATCACTGGAAAAAAAAATTCAAATAGCAAAAATAGCAACAAACTTGCTCTAAATAACAGAAGTGCTCATCTACCACTAGAGGGAGTCGACCAAAGAACGCTCTTTCAATCAAATGAAAGATAGCCAACCTCTCAGCCCAATCCCACAAACCTTTAACTATCAAGTATCACTCCCAAGGAAATCTCACTCTTAGCTGTGGAGCTGTGGAAGGCGCCTTGATTGAAGGTGGTGGGGTATAAACGAGAACGGGACGGCCTCTTTCCTCCAACGAAAAAGGAAAGCAGTCGTTGCTATGGCAACACAGAGACGCCCCGTGTGTGGCTGTAGCTCTGTGGCGCAACTTACCATAAACATTTGCTCCTTTCTTAAAACAAATGTATACGGTCAAATAAAACTTTTTCAAAGAGGACTTTCCATTTGGAATTAATTACTTTTTTTTTCCATAAACTAACTTGTAATTTTCTGTCAGTGTGATGAAGATGAAGATTGCAGCAATTGTTTGTTTGCAACTGATTTGTTAAATGTAGCTTTTTGCTTCTGTTTGTATTGATTATAGCATTTTTGTTTGCAGTTTTTTTTATTGCCTTTGTTTTTTTTTGTGTGTGTTCAATCGTTTTGGTGTTTGCAGCTCGTTTTGTTGTAAAGTGCGCATTTGCACCTGTCACTGTACTGTCACTGTACTATCCACCGCCGGGAGCTATACAGTTGCCCATAATCCTTTGCATGACAGGACTTATATGCACACCACAGAGTTTACCAACACATTTAATCACATTATTTAATAACGTGGTCTTTGTTATGCATGAAAATGTACAAATTGTTTATATGTTTTGGGTTTTGGAATGGAGGGGTTCAACTGTTTACTATATTCATGTAACTTTTGTTTTTCGTAAATTTTATGTGAAATGCTGTAGAATCATTCATGTGAATGTTGGTTGCATAATGACATCTGTGAGGCTGAAGGTTGGCTAAATTCAGCAAAGTAGTCTGGAGCTCCTTTGCAACACTGGTTAGAGTTTTTACTTTTGATCCTGAAAAGGGTGAAGGAATAGGAGCTATAGGCACTAGAACTAGAACTAGTAGGTAGAAGCTACATTTTAAAGCCATTCTGTACCCAAACATCAGAAAAGTACAAAAGAAATCAAATCATGAAGAAGGAAACTGCTCACATTTATGAATTTATTACAGGAAGAGAGTAAAAATTAAAATAGATAAATTAGAGATTTTTTTTACACTCCTTAATAAATCTACCTGTTCATCATACCAGCTTCTTAGATATATTTCCACAATAAAACACAGTATTCATGGGAAACATAAGAAATTTTGTTGCATTTTTGATTTTTTACAAACCATAGATGTGTTTTAAGGATACATAGGTGTGTTTTGTAGGTTTTATGCTTGCGTTAATCCTCGCTGGTTTTGATGCAAAAAAATATAAAAAAAAAATGTCAATTTAATTTAAAGATTCAAGTTTCATGAATTTCAAACTGTATTTGAAAGAATCCTTGTTCAAAGTGGATTAATTGTGCTGTGGCTTGATAAGCTTTCTGGATTTTAGACTCAGCAGGGTTAATGACTCCTTATTTATAGAGCTCTTTAGTTTAGCACCAAACCTTGGAGCAGTTTCCTTCTGTGTTTTAGCTAGTTAAAGGAATATGCACATGAGCACCAGAAAGCTTGGTGTGCAGCTGATAGAGCTTTTCCTTTTTTTTCTCCTGTCACCCCAGGATAGAAGTATACATCGAGTGGGGACCTGATATCAGAAATCATTATCTACAACATAGCACATTGGTATCCAGAGATAACGTGATGAAGATATTTAACAACAAGTGATACAATTTTGAAATCCATTCCAGAAGCGTTAAGTTTTGAAGACATGTGCTTCCTTCTCTTTGAAGTCTTAACAGGTGTTTGTTGAACTCGTTACTAGTTTAAACAAGTTTTTCATTAGCCAAAATAAAGAGAGCCTAGATGGCACAAAAGCATGCAGTAATATTTCTCAAACCTCTTAAGAGCAAACCCTACTTCATGCTTTGTCAATATTATTTTCTCTAGCTTCCATTGTAATTAAAATAAAAAGCTTGTCTCCTCTGCACTCCTGCACTATATATCACAGCCACATTAAGTCCCTGATTGCTTTTTGTGAAATGAACGTAAAAATAGCTGTGGTGATTTCTTATTGTATACTAGAAAGCCTCCCCTGTAAATTACATCAAATAATTGGTCAAATGTGCATTTTTAGACTTCTTAAAGACAGTCATTTAATGAGATAAACATGCTAAAAAGTGCTTGAATTCATGAGTATGTTGCACATTAATCAGCTGAGATCGCAATCAGATGCAATCTCCCTCTCTGAAGCAGCAGGTGTCATGATTTTATTCAAAGATCTGACCCACATGCAGAAAACCACTCAGAAGAACCAGGGTAAGGTTTAACAGGTTTATTGAAAGCTAGTAGAGAGGGGTCCAGTGCTGCTCTGAACGCTGGCGAACCTGGACTGAAAAGTGAAGGGGAAGTTCCTGTGGTTAATCCAGGCTCAGTTGGAAATTTGAGCTTTGATTTGCAATGGGGAGTAAAAGAAACAGAAATGGGTTTGCTCGTTGGAGTGCGGATGGGGTTTACCCAGGTTAAGATGTTTCCTTGAGGAGCGGAGGAGCTGACTGCCACTTAGATTTCCCTTGGTACTTGAACGGCTCTTGTGAAGATGAATCCCCTGCTCAGTGTGAAGCTCAAACAATCCTTCAGGGAAAAGTGGATCCAAACCTCCAGTTTGAATCCCCAGCTCAGTTTGAAGCTCCGACAATCCTTCCAAGGGGTGAAGGTCCAAAACATCCAGTTTGCAGGATGACAAAAAACAACAAAGTTTAGACTCAGGAAGACAAAAACTCAGTTTGACTTAGCAAAACTCAGCTAGGCTAGAGTACCCAAAACTGGGAAACAATCTGGCGTCGAGGAAGTGGCAGTCAGCAGCTTAAGAGTCCTCTGGTAATGAGGCAACCATCCAAAGGTGTGTGAAAGGGCCAACGAGAACCCGGCGCCACCTGGAGGTGGAGGGAGAAAACACAAAAACACAGCCCACACAAACTGGATTCCTAACAGCAGGATTATTAGTTTCTGTGAGAAATCCCTATTGAGGCTTGACCCTCCATATATTGAGGCAAGCAGCAATAAAGGAGGCCCTGATTGGATAACACTCAAAAATACGTCACTTCCAGTGAGGCAAAGCCTTTTAAAGAGCAGTTGCGGGTTGTGATGCTGGCTTCTCGATGCTGATTGGCAAACATAATTGTGACTGACAGTGGCCAGACAGCAGGAGGTTTTCCTCATGAGCCGAGAGAGAAAAGTGATTGTTCAGTCAGAACTGTGCTGAACTGTTGTCATGGTTGCTGGGGTTTATTGTTTCAGAGCGCTTCATAACAGCTATTTTCACCCAGTGTAGTAATGTGTTTCAACATTTGTCAATGCAATATGTTACGTTTGGTTTTCAGAAACACCATTGAGCCTCCTCTTTTTCTGAGCATGTAAATTGTTTGCTCCAGCCACGATATTCGTCCCATTAGGCTGTAAAAAGAAGTAAACATAATAATAATGTGTTTATTCCATGTATGGAATCAAGTAATATTGTAACACACCCAAAAACATACAGGGATGAACATAAAACTGTATCATCTGCATAATGATTAAAGCAAATGCTTTCTTTTCCAGACCAAACTTTTTTAATAGACAAGTAGGTTTAGTGTTTTCCGCATGGTAATTTAAATGAATGAAAATTATTACCATTTGAGTAAAGATAGATAATGGACAGGGGAGGTCCAAGCACCCAGCCTTGAGGTACACCAAAAGCGTGGAGAGACAATTTGAGATGTGAAGGGTCTTTGTTGAACCATGGTTGTTTCATGGTTGTCTGCTGTAGCTAATGAGTCCATGGGGATTTCGTGGGAGAGTTTCAAAGGTTGAGATTACTGCAGGCTGGCAAGGAGTCCACTATCAGTAACCCAGAGGAGGTTGGTTTTGAAAAGACGTGTTTTGTTGAATGTTTCCTGGGGTAAAACAGCTTATTTTGTAGGATTTCAGCATTGTCATTAGATGAAAATCTTAAACGAGAAAAAGGTTTTAAGATGCTAAAATATGAATGAATGGTTTTCAGCAAAATATATTTAGACATCTTTGGAAAATATAGGACATATGTAAATTGCCACTGACAAACACACTTTTAAGCAAGTCATGCTCAGTTTTTGTTTCTCTATCCCTTTCCTCTTTGTTTCTCTCTGCAGGTACCTGATGAATGTGACATTTGAGGGGCGCAATCTGTCGTTCAGCGAGGATGGGTACCAGATGCACCCTAAGCTTGTCATTATTCTGCTCAACAAAGAGAGACAGTGGGACAGGGTAAGACAAAACGAGACGTGGCACTGTCTGGTTGTCTGTTTGCAACTCAATCCTGAGATGTCTTTTTCTAATGGTGGATGGAGGATGGGGAAACAGAATGTTTTAGCAGAAAAGAGCTGCATCTGCTGCATGCATTTTCTAAAACGACAGTCATAGCAACTTCTTTCCATATCTTAACAGGTAATTAGGGGAAAAATCTTAGAGCCACTGTCATATTTTTAGGTTTGTGTGACTCTCTTGATCTATCTTTGGATTTTTACTATTTCAAGCCTTTAAAGTGTTAAGCCTTTGATGCGCCTTTCTGATTAGATATCATCAACTCAGGGAAGGTGCCTTTGGGCCATTCAATTCAGCAGATTTATCTCCTTAACTGTATTTTTGGTGCTGTTTTTATTAATATGGTTTTTGTTAAAATGTAAGTGCATTCTGCTATAATACAGTTTCCTTTTAGAAGAAGCAGCAGATTGTTGAAAAAAAACAGGGTGAGGATGAATTTTTATTGAGTAAATATTTTCCTTAAAGGGCCTCAAACATCAAATTTTACACACTGCAGTAAAGCAAAAATACATGCTTTGCAAGACTTGTGAATGAGAAAAAAATCTAATTACTAGCTGAAACATGCAAAGAGAGTAGAGGTTGTACCGTTTTTGTGCTACTATAAATTTAAAATGATCTGGTTGAAGTGTAAAGTACCTTGAGATGACATGTGTTGTGAATTGGCGCTATATAAATAAAATGAACTGAATTGAATTAAAAAAAAAAACAATTATAACGGATCATCTAACAAGATGCAGGGTCATGCAGAAAAATGTCTTACTCTCACCTTACACCTTTGGATTTTATGTGAAAGACAGACACAAAGGAGTCCGTAATTATGCAGTTGAAAGAAAAAAATAGATGCTGTAACATAAAAGAAAAAAATAATAGGTAAAGTGTGGCATCTATGAATAGATGCCACACTTTTATCTTTTTTTACCTTTTTGTTCTATTTGCAAAATACCTCAAGCTTCCCCAAATTGGTGATAAGCAGAAGCACTGAAGCTTTACTTTTCATTCTTAAGTGGGTTATCATCTGGACTTTAACCAGGCCATTCTAACCATTTCATCATCCCATCGACCTGCACCAGTATCCATGTTCTGCTGAGGAAAAGTTTTCCCACACCATTGTTTCAAAAGACAATTGTTTTAAAATGGGGCTGGCTTACGGCTTTTTAATGTTTTCTGTCTACAGTTGGTTTCTTCATTCCACTAATCAACAAAGACAATGTTTTTAAATGCAGAACAACTAATGTTTTAATCTATGCTGAGGAACTCTGCAGCTCTCCCAGACAAGGGTTGTTTGGGCAAAAATGTTTTCTGACAAATCTCTACAGCGTTTTTTTCTTCAAAATTACATATTACCCACCTATTTTTTTTAATATATAATTAAATGACTCCTGAAGTTAGTTGGTTAAATTGGACATCTTCTACGGATTTCAGAATAAAGGTAGCTGATTAAAAATCCATTATATCTGTTCTCTTTTATATTTGTAGATTATTAAACGTGTTGGTAATCTGTGACAAGAATATAATGTTCATTCCCAGAAATTCAAATTCCCATTTAAAAGAGCTTGAACAATTTAGCAAACATAAACTGACAAAAAAGTGTTGTCTAAAAGTGTTGAAATGAGCTACATTCATAACAGAAGGAAATGCAGCAAACGATAATTCTGTAAAGTGTTTTGTAAGGGCTGTGACAGACATTCTTCACATTTTTCTAATTTCGAACAATAATCCTTTTGCTTCATGATGGGGAGGACTCTCTCCTGGTCTATCTCATCAAATTCAAATGCGACAGATTGGCGTTACATGAAAGTAACATGAAAAAAAAATGGGAAATTTTTAATTTTCCCATTTTTGGCATCAGATATGAATCCTAACCAGATTCCTGGTAAGTCGCTGATTCTTGAATGCAGACTATAAACACCTGAAAAAGATTGACTACATTCGTCATGAGAACTTTAAATGAAAAAAAAAAAAAACAGAGAATCTCTCCTTCTGTTTCACTTCCGTCCATTCATGTAAGACTGAGACTCAGTTCCACAGCATATGTTCCCATCCTCGGGGTTAGAACCTGCAGGCTCGCTTCGGTACTTCTATGTGAAGCGTGCATAATTTCTCTGAGAGTGCGTGGGTTATCTCTGCAGACTCCATTTTCCTCCCACATTACACAGACGTGCAGGTTAGGCTTAATTGCTGACTTCAGAATTTCTGTAGGTGTGGATATGCATGCCAATGATTGCCCGTCTTTTCAAGTCAACCCAGTGATTGACTGGCAGTCTGTCCAGAGTTTTCCCCCGCCTCTGGAGTTATTGTGGATATTGCTCCTGCTGTAGAATAGAGACAGTTATAGGTACAGTATGTGTGCACTGAATAGAGCATCTATTGTGTGTAATGCATACATTAAGCTATATCAGATGCCTTTGAACTGAAGCTTCAGAGGTAAGACTTTGATATTCTTAGCTGTAAAAAGCAAATGTCCATTTAAACTTTACATGCTGATTCAGCTTCCTATCATTCAAATCCAGCTTTAAAAATCTATTTTATGATGTAATAAAAAACTAGAATAAAAAGCCACCAAGTATGGCGAGAGGAGAAGCGGTTGGTGTACATATGGCAACAATAATTCAGAACCAGCCAAAATGAACCTGTCGCAGCCCACCACCTGCCGAGTCAGCATGCATCTGCGTTTGAGATGATCCCGCTCCATTGTGTCCCGCGCCCTGACTCCCTCACCTCTCTCTGCTTTTTATTCCCTGTACTTCTCTCTATCTTCTGCCTCTCTAATCTATATTCTGTCCTCTGATCAGAGAACAAGGTGAGTTGTTCCCCTCTGGTCTCCCTTTTTCTCCCCCTCCTCTTGCGTCCTGCACCACCTTCTCCTTTCTCCTCCACCTCACCCTCCTGCTTTATCGCTCATGTTTAATTCCCAGCTTGATTTCCAGCTTTCTCGGATCCTGACAACCTCCGGCTCTTCTCCCCTTCGCTGCCTCTTTGAAGAAATGTAAAGACTCTGGTAATGTCCGGTTCCCATCCCTCCAGGCCGGAATTTAAACCGTCTTTCTCTTCTTGTTTCTGTCATTTACTGCCTCTCACCACTTGTCGTCCAGACAGGAAAGGGGCTGCGTTGTGCTGTGGGGATACACAGCCTCAGCTTATCCTTTCCAGCCACTTTGCCAAGCTTGTGTTCCCCAGGATGCAATGTGTTTGAACACATTTCCATGTTTAATGAGTGTGCAAACTGGACTTTACACCCTCGCGCTAGAGTTGAGCTGTTTCAAATTGTGTGCTGCATTTCCACTTCAAACCATCTGTTTGTCTTGATGGAAGGGGCTGGTTGATCCAGGTAGAGGTTTCAGAGAGGGGCATCGGGGAAAAATTGACTAATTGGTGATGCTTGTTGAGTTGAGTAGACCTCCAAGGGCTGGAGGGCCCTCCAGACGTACAGCTGGACACTCCTCTACACAAGATCCAGCAATTTGCATTTGACTCTTTCACTTTATATTCTACTTTCTTTATGCAGAAATAAGTGTTTGGAGTTGCTTTTCTTTAAGTCTCTCTATTCACCTTCCTTTTCTTTTTCCTTGCATGTTATATACATATATATTCCCGTATTTTCTCTCCTCGTGATCTGAATTCTGCTCTATCCTCTGTATCGTCTCCGTCCTTCAGCTTAACCTTGTTCTCATTCTCTACTCCAGGTCCCAGTCCTACCCCTCCTCTCCTGTTCCTCTCCTCTCAAACGATGCACTTACACAACACGGTTGAATGCAGGAGCAATCCCACAATTACAGGGGCATATGAATAAATCTAATTTTCATTGAAAAGTTCATTTACTTCAGTAGTTCGAATCGAAAATTTCAACTTACATATATAGATTAGATCATACTCACTCCAAATGATATATTTCAGGTATTCTTTCGTTTTTCTGATTATGGAATACAGCTCATGAAAACTGTAAATTAATTGATTGTATTGTATTGTATTAGATTGGACTAGATTACATTACATTGGATTAGATAAAATCACTTATTTTCTACAGACACTCCACCAAGACCATATTCCTCAATGGAAATGAGTGCACTAAACTATATTTGGGTAGAATTGTGTGACATAAATACAAATTAAAAACTTTCATGCTAAAAAAAATCCCTAAATGCACAAACTTTACTATCAAAAATGTATTAAATGATTTATGAATATAGATCTGACATAAAAACCTTTAAAATATTTTAGAGGACTAATTAAAGAGCAGTTTATACTACAAAAAAGTGTGTTTGTAATGATGATAGTAGAGACTGCTTCATTAACAGTTCTTCATTGATAACTGTTACACTCAAAAAACAGGCTCCAATTAAACAAACTACTTCACTTTGGTAATAACCAGTTGATTTAACTGAATTTAATTTATAAGTTGTCGAGATAAACCCTTGTAATTAAATAAAGTTGGGAAACTTATTGGAAGTACTTGTTATCAACTTAAATGATTTTATTTGAGTTGAAGCTACATTCTGTCATAGTGGACTTTAAAGATCTGACCCACATGCAGAGAACCACTCAGAGACCAAGGGTAAAAGTTTAACAGGTTTATTGTAGGTTAGGAAACACTGATGGAGATTGAAACAATGCTGGAACTCGGTGGACTGGTGAAACGGAACCGGAAACTCTGAAGGGGAGATCACAGTGATCAGTTCAGGGACCGTGGGAAAATAGATTGAGGCTTGAATATTGCTGGAGAGGCACTCACTTTGGGGGGCTCTTTGTTTATCCTTGGATCCAGTTTGTGGGGGTTTAGTCCAGAGAAAAGGGAACTCATTAGAGAACGGGCAGGCAGACATAAGTTGGACCCGGAGGAGTAAAGGAGTGGACTGTCACTTGGTTTTCCAGGAGTGGACTTAAACGGATCATGTGGAGGTTTTCCCCTTGCTCAGTGAGACTCAGTAAATCCTTCCAGGGGTAGA